AGACAGAGCTGTAAGTGGGTCTGGGCAGAGTCATCTGCGTGGTTCTTAGCTCTCCATCAGCTGAAGCTGCTTTGGGGCCGCGGTGCCTTTGCGGGAAGAGCCACCCCACCGGCCGCAGGAGAAGGTCCCGGCTCAATGCCCATCAGGTGGCTCAGTTTTAATCACCCTTCCCTCCTCCTTTGGTGCCAAACGAGTCTGCACACCGCAGAGGGTGACGCCTCCTGCGGATAATTTAGGAAGCGGTTGTTCGTGGAACTGGAGTACGGAATTGCCATTTCTGATGGGTGCCTGGAGGCAGGTTGGGGAAAACCTCTGCTTGCCTCAAGCCTCTCAAGCTAATACCAAGATCTCTTTTGCATTCAAGTGTAAGCTAGGCCAAAATGAGACAGACACACACACACATATATACACACACACATATACATACAGTCATTTTCTCCTTCCTGCCTTACCCCAAGCTTTTGTTACGGAACTTCATGTTCAAACAAAAACATTTTTTTGTCAGCTTTTGTATGCAAAAACAAGATAGGGTCTTCTGGGCGTTCTGGCTTGGTGGGAACCTAGGGGAGAAAAGGGAAGAGTTTTATCTTCCACATACACATTTGTGAACTCTGTGCGAGATGAAGCTTAATAAGATGAGAAATGCAGGGAGCATATAGTTTTGCCTTAAGTTACATAAGGTGCACGTGTTTCCCATCTACAGTTAAGTAATTTTTTCGCCACATTGTCTTGCAAGCACACCTGGCTGAGAAGAAAGTTTAATAAATGTTCAGGTTAGTCTGACTTTGAAAAAAAAATGACAACAACAACAAAAACCCTTCTAAATCCAGTGAATGTTCATTGACCCTGGTAGTGTCTCTTCTGCAGTGAACCAACTGGCTTTGAAAAACAGGTTTGAAAAACACAGATTTTGCAGGTTGTACCTACCAGAAAAAAGGAAGTTTTTAAATGTCTGTAATTCTCATGATGGACACCCAGCTCWTTCCTGTAAGCAAACAGTTTTATCTCCATTTCTAACGACGTATACCAGCCCATAAGGAGCAGAACAAAATAGTACTGGGAGGCAGTACCGACCTCGAATAGAAGAAATTCCTCAAATCTCCCATGGATTAGATGAAGACTAMAAGATTAGTTAAAATCTTCCTGCTTTGATTGAATGTATTGTTAAGGTCACTTGAGATTTTGGAGCTGTTTGAATTTGGGAGGAAGGAGGCCCTTAGTTTTGTATTGTTTTTGAAGCATGGATCGCTGTTCTGCAATGGAGGCAAGCAGGTTGTTAGGTCTAATTTTGTCTTAATTCCAATTCTCAGGAGAGCCCTTAGCCTCTAATAAATAGTGTTTGGGAGGCCCAACGTGCCAGATGGTCAGAAACCTCTACTGTCTCCAGCAACGTGGGAAAGTCTCCCGGCCAAATACGCAGGGAGGGTCTATGGGAACAGCTCCGTTATTATGGAACTGGATATATAAGCAGCCCTTGGGAGGCAGTCTGGTTGGTACATACTTAAAGAGGAGAGTCAGCAACCACAGCAGAGCTGTTCTCATGTCGCTGCTGCTGCCGCAAGCTGCTGGTCGCGCTAGGGCGGCCGCAGACCCGCTCGCACGGGGAGCTCGGTGTCACTGTGAGACTTGTGAGACTGTGAGACTTGTGGCCAAAGGGGATGAGAACTGCTTGATGTCCCCCCTGCTTTCTCCTGGGTGCCTCTCTTGTAAATAAGGAAGCTGCAGGCAAAAAGACACCCCAAAATCCAGCAGCACCCCGGGTCTGGTGGATAGGTGCACTGTACGGTGAGGGTTTACATGCAGAGTTATTCCACGCTATTCCCAGCTGCAGCAGCTCCCTGCGCACACCAGCAAAGTGTCTCCTGAAAGGTTTTCAAGGTTATTTTTCCCAGCACAGCTGATTTGCAGTGCTTGTGCTGCAGGAATCGCTGCTCACCCCACCTGCATCAAACCAGAGGCAGGTTTGTTGGTGCAGGACGCGGCACGGAGCCGTTCGGGTGCCACGAGCTTCTGCTTCCTTCGTGCCCCGGGCTGGCAGCACTCCACGGTTTGGAGGGGCAGCTGGAGAAAACACCCACGCGTCCAGGCTTGGCAGCCTCTCGGAGCCCTTCCCTGTTGCCCAACAAGCCGTGTTTTATTTCTGGAAGGGCAGCGTGTGTTTCTGCCCGCTGCGTTTTATCAGTTGTTGTTTCCCACTAGTATCGCGTGCTTGTCAGGACGTATTGCTCAGAAGAGCTAATGAATTTAAGTCTGCTTTCCTGTTCTGGGTACAGGGGCACATGTCTAATTAAGCAAATACAAAGCTCTCCACATGGTCAAATATCCTTCCCTTGAAGGAAGAATAGTTGGAGCCATATTTTTATTAGCCAAATTATCTTCTAAAAGATAACAGATCTCTCTTGAAGATAAATGCAGGGAAAAGTCAGTATGAGCAAAACTGTTTCATGTTCTTTAAAAGCCCCTGTCCAGCCCCTAGAACAAGAGCTGTTGGCGGCGGGTAAGGCACGTGCTCAGGGAAGGTTTTGCACATTCTCAGAATGATGCATTTTTCATTGAAAAAAGCAGGTGTTTTATTAAATCTGCTAATATGTAACGTGGAAACTTTTTGTGTGTGTGGTTTCTTAACGATTTTGGTTTTGAAAATAGGATTTATAGTGCTGTGCTCCTTAGTCATTTATGTTACTAATGCTATTCACTCAGGTGTAGTGAGCGAGATATATCCCTCTTGATGCAGTGGCACTGCTGCAGGAGTTCATGGATAAAATAGATTCCAGCCCTTCTAAGGCCTGAGAAATCTTTACCAATGAGAATAAAATGTGTGTTGTTTTTGCCAGTAAAATCTTTTTCATCCCTGCTGTAGGAGGGGACCCATGGGATGCTGGAATACAGCTAACCCTTGTCCTGGTGTCGTGCTCAGCGATCATCCTAAATCTCCAGAGCTTGAAGGAAGGCAAAGGAGACCTGTAATCGGACCCATTTTATCTATGCTTAGTTAAAAATACAGAAGAACCCCTTCCATTTTAAGTTAATCCTTAGGAACGTCAGCAAGGTGCAGTCACTGCCATTTGATATTCCTCTCTGCAACAGAGGTGCACTGTTAAAAATAGTAGAAAGCCTTGTTTGCTGTGCAGAAAAGGACTTGAATAATTTTTAGCCAAGTTACGCTAAAACATTTATTCAGACTTCATAAAATAGCCCCCAGTTTAACTGCTGTCATGATTGGGAATAAAGGAGTGGAACTCTAGTTGTTTACAAATTCCTGTGCCRTGAATTCTTTACAATGAAAGAAATGAAGAATTGGCCAAGACCTCGATTTCTCTCTCCTTTGTAACTTACCCCYGGTTTTCTCTCTCAAAATGCTTCTAAGTTAGGCTGAAAACATTAAAATGAGCTGCCACTGCTTTGTTACTTGGATGTCTTCAGAGCTGATTTTTTTGTTGTTGAGGAATTTTAATGAAATTGTGTCTTTACTAATACGTGTGGTTTCTGTCCTCTTGTTTTGGGTGGCAAAATGTCTTTTTTGTACAGCATTCGATAGCAGACTAATCAGGGATCTTACATACCTGGGCATATGGAAGTTTTACATCTAACTTGCAAACGTGAGTGGTGCACTAAGCACTTCCAATTTTAAAATAAATTGTTCCCTTTAGGTCCTGACAGAGCAGTTACTGCTGGTATGGATCTCCATTTCTTAACCCTATAACACATGGCAGCTAATTYATTTGCAGGCTTTGGGAAGGGAGAGCTTTTCTAGTGTTTTGCCCTTTTTTAGGAGGAAAAAAAACCCCAAAATTCTTATGGAAGTTTCAAGAGAAAGATTTCATACCCTGAGTGATAAAAGGCAAAATACTGTTAAAGACGGAAATTGTGGGGTGTTTTGGGAAGGGCTGGGTTTGTTCTTCTCCTGAAAAACCTCAGGGTGAGAAGGATGTGGTGCCTGTGCTGCAGGTTAAGCTCACGCTGTTGGCTTGGCTTCAAAGCAGCAGCCTCCTGCTGCAGCCCTCCAGCCCTTGCGTGAGCCCCACGCTCATTTTCTAGGGCTAGTTCTCTATTTTTAAGCCAGTCATTTYGGTTCCAGCCACTCTTGATGTGACTAAGCTCTGGGTCCTGGGCCRTGTGTCTGGTCTAGGGGACAGCAATGAACCTGCTTGTGCCTAACCCCGCTGCCAAGTGCACATTTCTCAGAAGGAACAGAGAAAAGTAACAGATCCCCCGTGTTCAGCGAGCTTATGAAATGCTAATTCTCTGCACGCCTCAAAGTTCAGATGAGTGACACCCTGCGTTGCCACCGGGGAATCTGAACACAGGGATGGCCAGAACCCCCACGGTGCCATCATCCCTGCTAATACCAGGCTTTGAGAGCCAGCCTGTTGTTTCTGTGAACGCTGTTTGGCTTTTGTGAGCACTAGCTTCAGTTCTGAGCAGCAGTTTTAAAAAGCACAGCAGTATTTTTGTTGTGGAAAGCCGCGAAGATGAGAAATAGGGGAACTTCACACTGAAGATCCTTGTATCTGCTGGGATTTGCACTGGTAGGGTMCAGAGTACAGTAGCAGAAATACAATGCCAAGTAAATTAAAATCTGTTGTTATGGATTGGTAGCGTCTGGTTTTGTTGAAAATGAAGCCAAGTTGTCTACTTGAATGTCCAATGGGGAAATTTAACCACAGATTTCTGAATTTCCCGGAAGATTGCTGCCATTTCCAGTAGTGCCCATAGGAGTGCTCCGTACCTAGAGGCTCTCCTGGCTTCCCCTTCATCATTCCCGGACTCTTTCTTTCCAGGTGTCATGGGGCAGCAGCTTTGGCAAAGTGCTCGGTATTTGCAAACTGCAGTTTAATTGAAGCTTTTGATCTGTTTTCATAACGCAAGTTTGTTTGCACTGTCCTTTTAAAAAATGCTGTTTGTAAAACCCTAAAGATAGAATCTTTTGGTTCAGTGCTTCCATCGTTAAAAAACACTTTTGAGCAATCTTTTTCTCCCTTTCTTCTGTTTTTCCTCAGTCAATCGCTTCAGCAGACATGGATTTGAATCAGCTGGAGGCTTTTCTCACTGCCCAAACGAAGAAACAGGGTGGCATCACATCAGATCAAGCTGCAGTCATTGCAGACTTCTGGAAGAAGCACCGAGCGAAGATCCGAGAGAGCCTCATAAGTCAAAGTCAGTGGGATAATGTTTTAAAAAACATGAACTGGAGAGTCGACTTGAAGTCACAGTCAAGACACATCGATCAAATAAATACCCCTGTTGCAATAGTTGAGATGGAACTGGGAAAAAATGGGCAGGTAAGGTTTGCTTCATAAAATATGGAAATCTCGTTTAACTGGGTATGGTATAGCCAGTGATTATGTTGAAATTATGTTCTTATCCCATGTACTGCAAAGTCAATTTGTCTTCTTCCTAAGCAAATAGAAGAATTAGGTCATAACTGCAGAACAGAATCTGAAAAGGAGTAAAGTGAAATGTAAGTGAAAGTAAAATCTCTCTAAATGATGAACCATCCTTTACGTTTTTCGGATAAATTGGGGAAAGGTGTGTATTATTTAATAACAAAAACTTTGTGTTATACCTTGTATAACTTTGCATTACAAGTAGATTGTTGGTTACATTATGCAATATTCTATTACTTGCCTAAAAATGATATATAGCTCCATCACTGCTGAATACTGCATTTAAAAAGAAACAAACAGCAAAACCCCCAACTCTTACAATCACTAAAAATAACTAAGGGCGTAGCCTCCACTTTCAGTTTTTCTTCCTTTGATGGAAAGAAATAGTTTTTTTTTTCTTTGCCCTGTAATCTGTTAGCAAATATGAACTTCTTTTAAGTACTGTTTAAAAGCTACTTTTAATAGCTRCTGCTAAGTCACTATTGCTAATCAAATTATGAGCTAAGTTGGAGAGTTTGATGCTAATAGTTTACATTTAGCAGAATGGTTGAGGTTAGAAGGGACCTCCGGGGATCATCTAGTCCACCTAGATATCTGAAGCATGTCACACAGGATCGTATCCAAGTGGATTTTGAACATCTCCAGAGAAGGAGGCTCTGGAAGCTCTCTGGGCAGCCTGTTCCAGTGTTCTGTCACACRCTCGGTCAGGAGGTCTCTCTTGTGTTCGGATGGAGCGGTTTGTTTCAGTTGGTGGCCRTTGCCTCTTGTCCCATTGCTGGCCACCCCGAGAACAAGTTTTGACCGTATCCTGCTGAGACCCCGATAAGATCCCTCTCAGCCTTCTCTCCAGGCTGAAGAGGCCTGGCTTTCTCGCTTTCTCCTTGCAAGAGAGATGTTCCAGTCCCCTCACCATCTTTATAGCTCTACACTGGACTCTCTCCAGTAGCTCCATGTCCCCCTTGAGTGAGCCCAGCACTAGATAGGGATTTCCAGACGTGGACTCACCAGGACTGCTCGCAACACTTGCGGTTGCCTTGACCTGCTGTCAACACTCTAGGTACACTGGAGGGGACACTGCAAGCTACAGACCTGCAGCCAGACTCTGTGCCACAGAGTACAACTCTCTGAGCTCTGCCATTCAACCAGTTCTCAGTTCACTCCACTGTTGGCTTGTTGAAGTCAAGGTAGACAACATCCACTGCTCTCACCTCATCCACCTAGTCAGTCATTCCATCATAGAAGCCTACTGGCTTGGTTCAGCATGATTTACCCTTGCTGACTACTCCTGATGACCTTCTTGTCTTCCACGTGCTTAGAGATAGCATCTGGGATGAGCTGTTCCATCACTTTTCTGGGGGTGGAGGTGAGACTGACTGACCTGTAGTTTCCTGGGTTGTCCTTGTCCTCTTTGAAGATTGGAGTGACACTGACTTTCTTCCAGTCTTCAGGCCGTTCTATTCTCCATGACCTTTCAAACATGATGAAGAGTGGCATCGCAGTAACACCCACCACCTCCCTCARCACCTGTGGGTGCATCCCATTGACGCCCATGGGTTTCTGGGTGTCAGTTTAGCCTAAGTGATCTCTAGCCTGATCCTCCTTGATCAAGCCTTCCTTTTTTCCAGACTTCCTCTCTGGGGTCTAGAATTCCAGAGGGCTGGAATATAGCAAAGGCATATCCATTTTAGGCAAATAGAGTGTACCTGTGCTGATTCAGAGGCTTATCTGGAACTGTGTGGTTATTTTGAGGCCATCATGAAAGTACCAGTCAGTTGGTGTCCTGCTGTGGCAGGACATTTTGGCATAGTTGCTGTGGAAGTGCAGTTTTTCTCTTGGTTTTTGAAAGCCTCCCCTTCTAAAATGCTGACTCTCCACCTTCTACCTGTGAATCTCTGCAGTGACCGGGATAAGAATGGTGTACGTTCTTAGGCTTTTTCTCCTGGTCTTAAAATGTGSAGTTTTCTGCCAAGTATCTTAGCATTAATAATGTACAATGCTAAGTATCAGTAATAACAAATGGGGAGGAAATTAAGATTATAGCGAGTACATAAAAATCAGTACATTAGTGAGCAAATGAAAAAAAAAGCCCATGTTTCTTTAAAAGAAAAAGAAATCACAAACCCATTTGCTGTTTTTCAGAAGGGAGCCAGTGACTCTTGTTTAGATTTTTCTTCTTCTTCTTCTCCCAGTAATGGATTGTTACAGCAACATGAGTCAGTACCTTTTATAATTCTTTCTCTCTGTACAGACTGAGAAAGAAAATGGGAGCATRAAGGAAGAACAGAGATTTTTCTGAGGCATTTGAATTTCTCTTGACAAAGAACCCCTGATAAAAACAGATTGATTTTTAGCTATGCAGTTTCATGTCTCAAAAATTCCAAAGAAAATGGTTGTGTAAATGTATTTATTTCAACTACCATTAGACATAACTTCTCGTTTCCCTTGCTGGGGATGGTGCAGTGAGCTGTAGACTGGCGTTCAGGACAGGTAAGGCTGGTAATCAGAGTGGTAATTGTTGCATAACTAAAATTGACCCCACTTCRGGCAGAATTTGTATTGGTTTGAAGGAACTGTTGTTCCATAGTATCTTTAGTTTAGAGAAGAGCTTTTAGTGGAGCCTGTGCACGTGTCTCGGGCTGAGGCAGGACAGCTCGGGCACCAAAATGGTAGCGAGTGCCTGGAATCCTTCTGGGATACCAGGAGGATTCATCTGGCCCTTGAGATGTTCCCCTGTACCAGGGGCCTTCCTGGAAAGACAGGAGCAGAGACCACCAGTTCAACCAGGGCTGAAGGAATTGTTCTCGCTTGCTAGATTCAGCCCACAAGCCTGGAACTCTTCATCTTGTTTTATAGTCTTTATATGTTTGATCACTATTACTCTCGTGGTYATAGCTTTTCTGAGTGTCAAGTTTCTGTAGCACATCAAAACTGCACATGCCCGTACCTTTCTGAAACTTAACAGAGAGAATATGTTTTCTAAAAAGTAAAAAATGGCARTTGTGGATGGGATTTGACAAAGAGCGTAGGTCTCCTCCAGGCTTTGTAGAAAAGTGCTCGCTGATGATTCAGGAGTGAATTATTCAGAACCCGCTGTTTTCATTTGGGCAGCTGTTGACACGGGAGTATACAAGTGCACCGATGTGTAATGAATTGACATGAATATTTCATCTGCTTCGACAGAAGCAGGAGAAGCTCTGCAGAAAGTGTCTGTTTTCCAGTATTTAAAGGCCCTCTTGTTCCTCACAGCATCTCCCTCTGGAGTGGGTACAGAAAGTGTCCTATCATTCTGTTTGATAAATAACCTTCATTGCTTTCTGTATTTGCTGTCCTTAATATTCAATCACTCAGTTGCCTTAAAGCAAAACAAATGTATCTGTAAGACCTAATACAGCTAGAAATTAGGCCGTTTATGTGACTCGCATGAGTTTTGGTGGACCAAGCTTACCTGGCACATGTCAAATCTTATTAATGTTTTCTGATGGAACAGAGGTATTTCTGGAGAAACTTCATTGCAGTTTGTATGAATTCTTATTATCCTTGATGTTACTGTTAATAGAAAAGTGAATGCTTTCCTCTAAGCACCCTTCAAAATGTTTTGGAGAAATGTCCACAAATACTAGTGCAGCAAACTCTGGGGAGTTTAGTTCGGGCCCCGTAGCATGCATTTTCACCCTTTCTTCCTCAGTGAAGATTTTACAAAGCAATTTCAAGCTCTCTGTCCACTGATGATAGAGCCTTTATACATCCTGGCTGAAGGCAGATGAACACACTGGCCATAAAGTGCTTTGCTTTGCTTTCCTTTGGTCATCTGACTGAAAAATACCCTGCAACCATTGCACTTGATCCTGCATTTTCCTTCATCTGCTAAGTTTTCAGTACTAATCCCTGCCAGCCTGTCCTTTCCYCTTGAGCAACCCGTCTCTTCTTGCACAATGGCCTTCCTCCTCGGTGCCTTGCTGAGCTTCCCTTGAAATATCTAGAGCTCCCAGCCTCTTCTCTGCAGCCCTTCAGGTTTGTTTGCCCTCTCTGGACATTTCAGGAAAGCTCCTTGGCGTGAAATTCCAGGTGGATGTGAAGCTGTTGGGCAGGAAGCCAAGTGAGCCGACGAGCTGCCCTTCTTGCCCTTCCTTCCACCCCAAGGCAACGCTGCTCCACATTGAGAAATGGTCACTCTGTTCAAGCCCCACAGTCTTCAGTTTTTAACTCATTTCCATTGCTGCCTTTCCAGTTGCAGATTTATAGTTGTCCGTGTTGTTAATAGGAAATACGTTGGTTTAGCACCATCGCTTAGTATCAGGATAAACTTCTTTTATGGTGTTTGTCATGTTGTTTTCCTTATGAGATGTTCCCCTTCTGCAGGGTTTCTTTTTCCTCCTAGCATTCCAATTGACTAGATCCTAGYAAATCCAATTTGCTCTGGTCTTCCTTTTTAGGGGGTGAATATGTAGTTGGAAATCAATGGTGAGACGATTTAAGCAGAAGGATTTTGCTTAGGAATTGGCACTCATCAGGGATACCTGTCACTTAGTGCCTCCGGCTAACCAGAACAGGCACTGCAGCTGACTGCTTTTATACATTTGTTAAGCATTTATTATACATTTATATGCTTGAAGATATTTATGGAGTGAATGTTTTCACATCCATTTCAGTGTTTGAAATACTGGTAATCCAGGTGACAAACAGCGCTTTTAATGGAGTTTTGTATGAAGTAGAACATGTCTTATGAGCAAGGAGTATTTTATGGCCTAACCGAATRCAAAGTCTAGAATTCCACTGCAAGATTCTTCTCATGAAGACTCAAAGAAATCACATTCGTTATTTTATTGCTACTAAATTATGGAGCTAAATTTTTTGCAAGCTCAAGGATTTGCAATACTTGTTCATTTTCCCCCCAA